AAACAAAAAGTCACTGTGATAGAGTCAGAACTGACTCAGACCTGAACCTCCAGCGTGTTTTCTGGGGTTGTAAATGTAATCGTTAATGGGCGGAGACCCCATTTTTTCCCCTTGGTTCAAGGCACCTTTTCTTCATAGGGTCGCTATGAGTCGTGACTCGAGGCAGTAAACAAGAACAACAATACAATCCCCTACAGATGACACCACCAGAGCTGCCTTGTAGGTTGATCTGTGTATTAAAAGTAACTTTATTGTAATGTATTCAGGATCTAGTAGTACTGTGTAAGGAGGAATTTTTAGGATATACAGTTCAGACTACTAGAAGTAGAAGGTAAAAGCACTTAAAAATGTAGCCATAGATCACATCACTTCCTGCTTAAAACCCACTCAACTGTTTATGTTTACAAAGCTGGGAGCTCAGACCACACTCCTCCTCATCCTCCTACTGCCTCATGGTCCTTCAGGCATATTAAGCTCAGTTCTGCTTTAGAGACTCTTTATTAGTGACTCTCCGGCCTGATATGTTTCCCTCTTTTTCCACCTGGCTTACTCCTTCTGATAATTTAGTTTTTCTATAAATGCCACCCCTTCAGAGAACTTCCTTGGCTAGCGATCCTATTTTTTCTACCAGAGTCTGCTGTTTTAATTTCCTCTGGTAAAATGGCACCTATTAAGCCTTGATTGAGGTGGCACAAATGGCTAAATGCTTGGTTGTCAACAGAAAGACTGGCTGTTCAAATTAGCTCAGAGATAGATGCTGTGGGAGGAAGGCCAGGCCATCAAAACCCCTGTGATGTGCACACCAGTAACCTTGAGTCAGACTATACTCTACGGCAACTGATGTGTTGTTGTGAGGTGCTGTCAAGTTGGTTTCCATGCAAAATAGAATGAACCGCTCAATCCTGCACTCTCTCCACAATTTCTGCCAAGCTTACACCTATTGTCATAGTAACTGTCAGTCCATTTCATTGAGGATCTTCTCGTTAAGGAACCCTTTACTTTTGCAAGCAGGATTTTCTTCCCTAGGGACTGGCCTCTCCTGATAACATGTCCAAAATATACGAGACAAAATCTCACCACCGTTATCTCTAAGAAGTGTCCTGGCTGTCCTTCATCCAAGGCAGTTTTATTGGTTCTTTAGGCAGCCATGGTAAATTCAATATTATTCACCAGCATCACAATTTTAAAAAAAGGATCTCTGGTGGCATGTTGTAGTTTTGTGCTGTCAAGTTGCTTGCAACTCTTAGCGACCATATGTACAATAGCTTTGAACCCTGCTCTATTCTGAGCCAATTTCATTGTCTCTGAAACACCTACCCCCATCACCCTCGTTACTGAGTCAATCCATCTCATCCAGGATCTTCATCTCTTGCCCTGTCCCTCCATGCTCCTAAGCATGATGTCGCTCTCCAAGGACTGGTCCCTTCTGGCCACATGCCCAAAATATGTGAGATGGTGTCTCCAAGGAGCAGCCTGGTTTCACCCTCTCCAGGACAGACATCTTTGTTCTCTTAGCACCTCATGGTATGTTCAAAACTCTTCTCCAGCCCCATAATTCAAAGACATTGATTCTTCTTTATCCTCCTTAGTCCAGCTCTCTGAGGCATAGCAAGTAATTGCGAAGACCATGGCTTGGATCAGGCGCACCTTATTTGCTGAATTATACTAGGACTTAGTAACTGCCCCCCACCCCAGTCTTTTCTCCAATCATGGTTGCACATTTTCTTTAACCCTCTTCGTCTTCCCTCAGCCCAACCACAATGAACACTTTGTTCCAGATTTTTCTCATACATATAATGCCTAATCATATATTCCTTTTGGGCAGTTCTTTCCCTTATCTGTTCTAAGGCAGTGTTCATTATCTATCCCCTCGTTTCCGATTCTCTCCCCAAGCCTCTGCTGTCTGTCCTATTTTATAACAGTGATGTTATATAATACTTGTCCTTTTGTGACTGAGATATTTCACTCAGCATCAGGCTCACTCATGTTGTGTAATGTTTTATGAGTTCATTGGTTTTCAATGCTGCATATATTCTATTGTGTGAACATACCATTATTTTTCTATCCATTCGTTTGGTGATGGGCATTTGGATTGCTTTCATCTCTTTGCTATTGTGAATAATGCAGCAATAAACATAGGTGTGCATACACCTGAATCGTGGCTCTACTTTTTTTAGGCTATAATTCCAGTAGTGGAATTTCTGGGCCCAATGTTATTTCTATTTCCAACTTTTTGATAAAGCACCTGACTGCTTTCCATAGTGGCTGTAGCACTTTGCGTTTCCATCAGTAATGAATAAGAGTTCCAATCTCTCCACAACCTGACCAGCATTTGTTGTTTGCCAGCCTGGTGAACCATGCTATTGATGCTGGGGTGAGATGCTATCTCACAGTTTTGATTTGCCTCTCTCTGATAGCTAGAGATTTTGAATATTTCTTCTCATGTATTTGTTTGCCATCTGAATGTCTTCTTTGGTGAAGTGTCTATTCATATCCTGTGCTTATTTTGTGATTAGGCTGTTTACCTTTTTCTTGTTGACATGCTGGCATTTTCTGTTAATCTTAGATATAAATCCCTTAGCAGATATGTCATTGCCAAATAATTTTCCCCAGTCTGTGGGTTTTCCTCTTACCCTGTTGGAGAAATTTTTGATGTGCATAGGGATTTGATTCTTAGAATGTCCAACTTGTCTATTTTATTCTCCCTTGTATATAGATAGAATTGAGTATTGGCTTAGGCAGGACTTAAGCTCTCCTCAGATGCCATTACTTCCCCTTATTTCTCCAATTCAGTTTGCTTTGATGAATTACAAATCTACCCGCACTGCAATTCTATGCACACCAGTTGCTCTGAAAAAGAAGGATGGACAATCTTCTCCTGTGTGGTTTGCTGCCTCTAAAAACCCACTGGAGGGTCCGAGCTGATGGCAACAACAATAATCTGGTTCCTAGAGGCATTTGAGTTTTCAAGCTCTCTTTGTAAATGTCACTCTAATTATATCTTCAGTATTTTGAGGGTAGAGGCTGTTTTATAGGTCTTTAACATTTTTCTTCATTGTCTTTTATATGATATGAAGAATGAATGTTCATTGAATATCTTCTACCCACCAACCAAAGCAATGTAATTTAAATCCTCACCACATTAAGAGGTGGGTATTATATTTCCATTTTACACACTGAGGCTGAGTTGCTCAGCATCAAGGGAGTATCTAGGATTAAAACCATGTAGATTTGCATTACTCTTTTGAATTATTGCAAAAAGTTGCTCATGTCTGAAGGAAAGGTGGCTGTTTTCAATCTGCAAAGTCAAGGCAGGACAACTGATTGGCTCTCTCAGGTCGTGTTTACACGGACCTAGTTATCAATTTTACTGTCTTGAGTATATGAAGATTTATCTTAAGAAACATCTAGATTTGGCCATAAGAGCCTTTGGTGCTCTTAATCATGCCTTCTGCAAGAGAGTCCTGCCTTTCTAATAAATATTTGCTGTTGGCAAACAATATGGAATACAGCAGAAAGGAGATTTTCTGAAGAGGGGTGTTTCAGTCACACCATGCACCGGTCATTGAATTACAGGACAAAGACAGAGACACAGAATGCACTGAATGATGCCACATCACCAGATTCTTTTAAGTAACAAAATCTTATTTTTATTATTATTATTTTTTTTTACAGAAATTCAGATATTCCAACAAATTTCTTTACATTTCCTGGACCTTAAAAAAATTACACACAACTTTTAGACACAATACAACAGAACAGAATGAGAAAGGGAGTCACTTTTTTTGTTGTTGTTAAAAAAGATAAAAACATACTTCTTATACGTAACATTCAGTGATTTACATGTGTATTATCTATGTACAAATGGTACATCATCAATGATCCATCTTCAGAGCACTGTGGTATGCTAAATTACACTTAGGTTTTATGGCAAAACATTTTTGTGTGATGTATGTATGTGAATAGGAAGTACTTTTCATTTTGGTTCATAACCGTTCACATCACTGTTAGTGATTGATGTATGCCTGACTCCCTACTGAATCTGTACCTAGATTAGAACAAGCCAATCCCTCCTGGTTTGGTTGAAGATAAAGTAGAGAGATACCTCCCTTTAAATAAAAGGTGAGTTTTTGAAAAGTTGTGTGTAATTAAATTTAGTAAGTAGGGTGTTTTGAGTGAAGTAGGACAGCTAATACTTAAAGCAACATATAACTCCCAGAGTGGCTGATACTTTAGTTGCAGATCATAAGCAGTTCCTTAATTTGGTTCTTTAGAAAATCTACACTTTTGTGACTTGATTTGACTCATTTGAATCACACATTTATTATACTTAATCCAGTTTAGGGTATAAAAGCAGCTAGTTTCAGATCTATTTGGCTGAAATAAGAGCATGGTCCTAACAGAGAAAGGGTAAGAGAAATCAACTGTGATCCCTTATCACTTTTGTAGTATCCTCTGTCTTACAAGTCAGTGATATATGCTAATATGCTCTTAATCTTGAAACTATGATTGAAGGTGTTCTATACTGCCATGCTTTCTGCTCAGGTAAAGAACATGGTGTAGAACATGAATTATCTCTGCATGTACATCTTAAGCTTATGTTCCTTTTTTTAGGCTTTTGACTATTTCAATATTAAGTATTGTTCTGTTGCTGGATTTTTGCAGGATATGCGGTGAGGGTGATGGTGGGGGAAGCCTGGGAGTAAAACATTGTTGAAGATAACTGGTTAGTTGTAAGTACCTCCAAATGCCAAACATTTAAAACATTTTAGTGTTTCTGAAGCCAACATTAGTAGACAAAAAGGCAACTCACGTCTACCAAGTTTCTTTGACCTGTATAAGTATATATTAATTTATCTCTAAGGCTATGAAATTATTATTTATTTTGTTAGTACCACTTACTATCATTTAGAAATGGATTTGATGGAATGATTTTTTTAAAGAAAAATGAAAGCATGTCTGCAAGGGAAATAAAAGTTATGGATTTCTAAAAAAATTTGTGGATTTCTAATGACACATATGAGAAAGAAATAGAGAAAAAAATTGGGGAATTTTTAGAGAGCTATTTAATAAAGTATATTAAATTCCTATGCATATACTAGGGAGTTTTAGAAAAAAGTGTTTACTTGATAGCAGCCTATATATTACATGTGAGCATCCAAGGTGAAAATGAACTTTCTATAGTTTTCAAAGTTCCTTGATGCTGTTTCATGAAAGATAGGGAAATCTCTATTGCTTGGGAACCTATGATGTAAAGACATACTTCCTGTAATATACAGCTTGATGGAGTAATATGTATATGTCAGAAACACTTTCTCAGTAATAACTTGTAGGAACAGATTAAACTGAACACAGACTCAGTAAAAATTTTGAAGCTTTACGTCTCTCAGTAACTGAGAAGTTTCAGCTAATGACACAGTGAAATAAACGAACAGCAGAGATGGAGAATCAAAGTCATATCTCCTAGTGAAACATTTAGAATAATTTCCTAAGACGCTTCCTCAATACATGATGCTTGATCAGCCCCTTGGCTATTGAGATAGGAATAATTTAGAACTGCCTGCCTTTTTTTTTTATGTTGAAAGATTAAAGCTTTTGGTTTCAGTTTAATTAAAAAAAGGACAGTTTACAAACTTCAGTGCTTATATATTTTGTTACTTGTAGCACACTTATACTTCTCTATCTTAAAATATTTCCTGACTGTGATTTCTCACGAATGTTATCTGATCCTATTCAATGACAGTGTCCAATGAGCTGGTGTTTAATCCACAATGGTATCTCTTTCCAGAAAAATCGCTCCCATCCCTGGCAGTCTCAATTAAGGAGGTTCTTTTGACAAGGTGCTCTCATCCATATTCTTCGCTGGATTCCGACTTCTCCCAAGCGTCTTCTTTCTTGATGTTGATGTACAAAAGCTGTTATTCGATTTGTTTAGCTGTTGTTCGATTTGTTTTTGTGCTCATTCTAGAGAATATTGGCTTAGCAGAACTGCAGAAAAAGGAGGGTGGGGTACAGTGGGAGAGAAAAAGAATATAAAATGCATCACTTTCTGTTAGCAAGGTGTTTGTGCACACTATATATCACAGAAAAAAAATACACCAACAAATTGTTAAAATGCAGTTTATGTTTGTTACCAAAGTAGATAGAAAAGACTGAGATTTTGGTTGAATTAAACCATACAGCACAATCTTCCTAGGAAAGGAAACCCTTTTAGACCTGTTCCTATAATACAGACTTGTGTATTCCCTCCATCAGAGTTAAGATTAGAGGCTACTTTGAAGAATGTTGAATAATCCCAAGAATGGCTGATTTTTCTGTCTAGTACGGAATTTTATCACTTAAGAATTTTGTATTTTCTCTCAAAATTTTATTTTTTATATAACCAACCTCATAAGAGCCACAATAATAATTACTATAAAGATTATTCACATACAATCAATTCATCTCAACTAACACTTTACTCCATCTTTCCAGTCCTTATTTATTTATACTAATTTTACATAGGTGTGTTAGTATAGATTTTGGTGAAGGGCGTTTTGGTGTTGAAAGAGTATTGAATATCCCAAGGACTGCCAAAAGAACAAACCAATCTTGTAGGAAGTGCACCCAGGGTACTCTTGAGAGGCAAGGATGGTGAAACTTCATCTCACATACTTTGGGCATGTTCTCATGGGACCAGTTCTTGGAAAAAGATATGGTGGGAAAAGTGAGGATCAGAGAAAGAGAGGAAGACCCTCCACAGGATGGACTGACACAGTGACTGTGACAATGGGCTCTAGCATACAATAGATTGCGAAGCTGGCTCAGGATGGGGCAAGGTGCATATCTGTTATTCTTAGTGTGGCTGTAAGTCAAAGCTGACTCAATGACACCTAATTGCAAAACAGTATAACAGATAACCTTTTAAACTTTAGAAACAATCTTTTATATTGATTGTCTATATAATCAGCACCAATTTATAGTAAATTATAGAAATATTTCTAATTCTTGATTATTTCACTGTGTGGGCAAGATTCTGATTTTTAAAAATCTTAAATATTGAACATTTTTCTTTTCTTTTATTTTTTTAATAATGTTAATGAACATTTACAGAGAATTTCGATTTCCATTCATTCATTGCTGCACTTCTCTCCCCGCCCAGCCCTCTCCCCCCGCCCCCCAGTTCGCTCCTCTCTTTCAAATGTAAAAGAAAGACTCCCTCCCTGGTACACAGTCCCCCCACACTCCTCCCACCACCCCAAGTACATTCCACTATGCAACCTTAATTGTGGACTCTTGTGATAACCATAAAACCCTATCATACATCGCTTTTAAATTATTCAGTCCGTCATCTGTTTCAGTGCAGTATACACAATTTATCCAGTTTTTCTCAGTCTTACCCCTACCCTGATATCAGTCCCATTTTATAGCAGTGGCACCATGCAATATTTGTCCTTTTGCGACTGAGATATTTCACTCAGCATAATGTCCTCCAGGCTCACCCATTTTGAATAATATTGCATGAGTTCCTTGTTTTTCAATGCAGCATAGTATTCCATTGTGTGAATATACCACAGCTTCTCTACTGATTCGTTTGTTGATGGACACCTGGGTTGTTTCCAACTCCTTGCTATTGTGAACAGAGCTGCGATAAACATGGGTGTGCATATATCTGCTTGGATGTCAGTTATGGTCTCTTTGGGATATATTCCCAGTAGTGGAATTGCTGGGTCAAATGGTATCTCTATTTGCAACTTTTTGAGAAAGTGCCATACCACCTTCCACAGTGGTTGCACCATTTTACATTCCCACCAACAGTGAATAAGGGTTCCAGTTTCTCCACAACCTCGCCAGCATTTGTTGCTTGCTGTTCTGTTAGATTTTGCTGTTCTGACTGGGGTGAGATGATATCTCATAGTTGTTTTGAATTGCCTCTCTCTTAGAGCTAGGGATTTTGAACATTTCTTTATGTGCTTGTTGGCCAACTGAATGTCTTCTTTGGTGAAGTGTCTATTCCTATCCTGTGCCCATTTTCCCACTGGATTATTTACCTTTATCTTGTTGTGGTGTTCAAGTATTTTATAAATTCTAGATATAAGTCCCTTATCTGACATGTCATTACCAAACACTTTTTCCTAGTCTGTGGCTTCCCTTTTTACCCTGTTGGAGAAGGTTTTGGATGTGCATAGGGATTTGATTCTTAAAAGGTCCCATTCATCTATTTTATCTTCTCCTGCTTGTAGAAATAGTAAACATTTTTGTATATGAAGATATATGTACTTTTTTCCCTTTATTGGCTAGGACTTCTATTAGTATTATTTTTTAAATGTATTTTAATGAACATTTACAGAGACTTAGGGTTTCCAGTAATTCATTGTTGCATTTTTCTCCCTACCCACTCCCTCCCCCTCCAATTCACTCTTCTCCTTGAAAAGAAAAACTCTTTCATTGTTATGCAATCCCTCACCCCAGATATATATATACTTAAAAAAATAAAATTTGTATTTTATACTGGTTTACTTACAAAGTTCATTTCCATTGTTTTTCACAACCGATTTTTCCTATTCCCTTTATTGACCCCTCCCTTTAACCATCAAATGATATATGTGTTTTTAAAATTCATTCTTTAGCACCAATTTACAGGGGCTGGTTTCTTTCCCCTTTCCTCCAGACTAGGGACTACACCTGTATCAGCCCAAGCAGACGACAACTAATAGGATCAACATCACTTCCTCAATGATTTTGACAGAATTCAGCATTGATAACCAAGTCTCAAACTCAAACCACATCCAATGCCATTGGCAATGCCAAGTCAGAGTGACCCTGTAAAAGGAAGCAGAGAGTGCGGTTTTCAAGGCTGTAAAGCAGCCTTACGGAGTCATGTTTCTTCCACCCAGTGGACTGAGTTCCGACCACAGCTGAGCACTTACCCACTGAGAGGAAAACCTTACCGGTCATGCGCAGCAGATTTAGTGTGACGAGAGATCACCTGCTGGCTTTGCATCACAGAATACTTTTAAACATAAATTGTAATAGAACAAATAATTCACTGTTGTTCTGTGTCACAGAATGGGAATCAACTCACAGCTGACTCTACAGGAGGTGGTCAGAGTCTGTACATCACACCCGAGGCGACTGCCTCTTTTTCCTCCTGTGGAACACCTGTTAGATTCAAACTGCAAGCCTTTGGATTGGCAGCTCAAGGCCACCAGAGTTCAGCAATCATTCTCTTTCTGCTCACAAAAATGGGATTATGATTTCTGAATGTGTGCTACCTCTGAGACATTATTTTGTTTCTAATATTTATCCCTTTGTTGTTCTAACACACTTAAAAAAATCTTACGCACATTATCATAAGAGAGAAATCACAATCACGTTAATGTCTCCAGACTACACAAGGGAGAAGGGAGACATGGCCATACCCTAATGATGATTAGATTGTAACGATTCTCCAAGACTGAGTTACGTTGGCAGAAGCTCTGTGGAAGGGGACACTTTCTTAAGGTGTTATGAAACCACCATAGTAATCCATTCCCATGACCCAAATCAATAAGTCATCCTGAACCCTGGTGGTCTCTGTTCTGCTGCTGAGGGGTCCTCCTGCCAGCTAAGACACAATGTTGAGCTTGTGGGTTCATGTGTATACTATTCTAGGACTCTTCTCTTCTAAGCTTTTCTATTTAAAATCTACAAAGTTGACAGTTTAGCCAGTAGTTTGGATCAAGGTCCTAGCTGGAAATGGAGAGAAAGGGGAATGAGTGGAGTTGTAAACATACAAAAGATAATATGGAAAACAGGCGCTGAGAAGTAGCTAGGCAAGAAGTAGTTAGACACAATGTACGTGCAAGAACACAATGTATATGAATGATAAAAATACATATAAAAAAGAAGTAGCTAGAAGTAGTGTGGAGATAGGAGTATGTGCAAGTGTCTAGGACTAAGTGTGATGAAGTTGAAGAGAAAGAAAGGAGGTTACGTCCTATTTTCTTGATGTTCTAAAAAAACCAAAATAGTCAGTTGCTATTAAGTTGATTCTGAGTCATGGGAACCCAATGGAGGACTGAAGCAGCATGTGGCCCAGGGTCTTTTCAGTGGCTGTTTCTTTGGAAGTAGAGTGCTAGGTTTTTGTTCCAAGGCTCGTCTGGGTAGGCTTAACCTACCAATCTTTGTATTAATCATCGCACCACCCCAGGGGTCTAAGACTTTGCTACTAACCACATATTTTTTCTCCCCAAAGCTCAACCCCATGAGAACCCTTGGGTGCACCAAAGTCCCTTGGACTGTGCTCTGCTGAAAAGAATCTGAATAGTTGTTCTCATGGTGATCAGAACACAAACCCCTGACATATCAGGAAAATACTTTGCTGGGGGTAAAATCTGAAATGCTATTACAATTACTTAGATGGCACAATGAAAGATTTTCCACAGGAAAGGTTGACCAGGGCTGGTCCTTCAAACAGGTTTGCGAAGCCAGTTGGTGGAAAGGAAAAAAGCAAGGTTTTTCACTCTGGGTATTTCCATCACCCACCCAGATTTAGTGTCTGTGAGACAAAGTTTGCATAATTCCTTGGAAGCGCCAGGTGACATCAGCGTGGCTACCCCAAGATCTCTACTTTGTAAACCATTCTATTCTTCTGAAAAGTTTCACTATCATTTCCCATGCACCATGGCTGCTGCACAGCTCACAAAAGGCAATTTAAAAGATGTCACATTCTTCCAGGTTCGTGCAGAGCAGGATGTGAATAAATAAGTCATTCACTGTTGCCTTAGATCTTTGTTCAGTCGAATTTGTCCTTGTAACATGTCATAGCTCTGAGCTGCCCATGTTCCATTTCCAGGGGGCTCTTTGCAAATCTTTTTCCAAGCTGTCATCTGAATCACTGCTCATGCAAGCAGCATTTATAATGACCACATTGTCCGGGCTGCTCAAGTAGTAGTTGTTAAATTATCTATGTTAAGGGAATTTGAAAAGTCTCCCGTAGTGGGTTTCTGCTGATTGCTCCTACCTGA